TGAAGACATAGTGGGTCCATATGGACTGGGAACCAGAAATGAAAGAGAAGAAAAACTGATAGAATGGGCCATCATGAATGACATGATTATTGGAAACACTTGGTATGATGAACAACCACCAAGAAGATTATGGACCTGGAAGAGTCCTGGAGACAGCGCTCGCAACCAGATCGACTATGTCATGATCAAGAAAAGATACAAAAACGGGATGCTAAATGTCAAAACGCGGCCATGTGCAGACTGTTACAGTGACCATGTACCCGTAGTGGGAAAATTTAGAATCAGATTGAAAAAAATACACATGAGCAAGAACAAGAATATGGAATTAAACATGGCATTACTACAGTCAAACAAAGAAATGCAAGATAAATTCAGAATAACTGTACAAAACAAATTCGGACCCTTAGAAAAAATACAAGACGTAGAAAAACAACGGGAACAGCTTAAAACATCTATAAATGAGGCTGCAAAAGACGTCATACCAGAAAGGACAACAAAAGCAAAGAAGAAATGGATGACTGAAGAAATTCTTAATCTTATGGAGGAACGAAGAACAAACAAAAACAATATGGAAAAATATGTGAATCTTCACAAAGAAATCAGACACAAAAGTAATCTAGCAAAAAAGACCTGGTTAAAAGAAGAATGTGAGGAAATGGAGAATCATTCCAATGCGAACTCAAAAGATCTACACATATAAATTAAAGAGGTGTGCCATACAAGAACACATGGACCAACAGGATGCCTCAAATCAAAGGATGGGAATATCATAATGGACAAAGGCAAGATACTAGAACGTTGGACAGAATATATCGGTGACCTGTACAATGACAAAAGAGATGAACAAAGAAGAGTGGAAAATAACAACGAGGGACCACCAATCATGAAAGAAGAAGTTATCAAGGCACTACGAAAGTTAAAGAAAGGGAAAGCTGCAGGACCGGACAACATTACCTCAGAGATGATTAAAGCTTTAGAAGGCTTTGGAATCACCACGCTGACAAAAATTCTTAACAACATATATGCCAGTGGACACATTCCATCAGACTTGTCAAAATCTATCTTCATAGCTTTACCAAAGAAACCTAATGCAAACGAATGTGAAACGCATCGTAGGCCTACCATCAGCCTCATGAGCCACATAACAAAAATATTACTCAGAATAATTATGATGAGAATACGAAATAAAATTCTCCCAGAAATAACCCAAGAACAGTGTGGATTTATTGAAGGCAAAGGCACTGTAAATACCATATATATGTCATCAGAACAACAATAGAACGTGCCCTAGAAGTTCAGAAAGATCTTCATTTATATTTTATAGACTACACCAAGGCATTCGACAAAGTTAGTTCTTAATATCGACGGGAAAGACTTACGGATTATCAAAAACATGTACTGGGATCAAACTGCTGCAATGAAAATAGAAAACGACATTAGCTAATACATACAGATTAAAAGAGGAGTCAGACAAGGATGTGTACTTTCTCCAGAATTGTTCTCCCTGTATAGTGAAATTATCATGAGACACATAGAAGAAATGCCTGGTATCTCGATAGGGGGACATAATATAAACAATCTAAGTCTAAGATATGCAGATGACACAGTCCTAATAGCAGAAGATGAAGAACACCTGCAGAATATATTAAATCTCATCGTACAAGAGAGTGACAACATGGGCTTAAACCTAAACATCAAGAAAACCGAAACGATGGTGGCAGAAAAACTCCAATCCCAACATGCAATATCAAAATCAATGATACGACCCTCAAGCAAGTACAACATTTTAAATATTTGGGGACCATTATATCATCCGATGGTAGATGTCACACCGAAATTAAAAGCCACATTTGCCAAGCAAAAGCAACCTTCCACAAGATGAAACAGATAGGCTACTAACAAACATCAATCTGTCACTGGAAACGAGGAAAAGAGTAGGCTACTGAAAAGTTACATCGAGCCAATCCTATTATACACGGGTGTGAAGCGTGTACAATTAATAAACAGCTGGAAAGAACAATTGTAGCGACAGAGTTGTGGTTCACAAGACGCATGCTACGTATCCCATGGACAGCTAGAAAAACAAACGAAGAAGTCCTGGTTGAAGCAACTTATAGAAAACAACCAAGGGCGGCTCGTGGGTCTAAAAAGTGGGCGTGCACAATTAAGCTTTCTTAGGTTGAAGATAGTCAAGGGCATAGTAAATGAGATGGTGTATAATTTTAGGATCTTTGGTTTGGTGAGGGAGAACCTTGTGATCCTATTTTCATTCTTTTTACTAGGGGCTTTGACTTCTAGAACTAAATCTGTTTGTTAGCTAAACGTCAATTTCATTCATCCTGCATTAGAACTGAACACTCAAGTAATACCTTTCACCACTCCACTACAAAACCGTTCAAAAGCACAACTCATAGGACGATGACTTAAGTGTGTCACGTTCACCTTCCTCAGGTTCACTGTCACAGAGTCACTTAAAATAGCGGCAAGACAATGAACCAATCGCAATTCACTTGAGCACTCCGCTGGATTGCTCCGGGGCTGACATAATTTTGGCATAGAATAGTGCACAGTCTATCGCGTTTATTTTTAGATTGCCTACTGTGGGTTATGTTTCGAACCTATTCGGCAGGAGCACATTTGAGATGTGCCATCGTATTAATATTAATGTACCGCCAAACTCGCTACGAGTGTCGTCATCACTTGGGTTATCCCAAAGAGCGATTTATAGGTCAGGTTTCCACTGTTGAATATCCTGCTATGCATATATACAGCGCATGAACTTTGGCATGGCATAGTAGATGTTTTACGGCGCTATAGACACAGAAATGACAGTTACGGCGCCAGTGAGAAACGTATTTTGATATAATATTTGGCTTGTGTTTGTTTCTGGCGTCTTTTATTTTGTTATTGTAGGTGTTTTACGTAATAGAACATTAAAATTTTGGGCGGCACTGCACGACCGTGCTCAATGGACGAACCGCGCCGGAAAACAACTTATCACGAATATAAGAAAACGACAGGCAAATTTCTTCGGACACACAATGCGGAAAGAAGCATTAGAGAATATTGCAACAGCAGGAAAGTTTGATGGAAAGAGAGGCAGAGGCAGACAGAGGGAAAAGATACTGGACAAGATGACAACATGGCTGGGGAGCAGCAAGAACAACAGACACCATTGCTGCAGCGCAGGATAGGGTGAAGTGGAGGTCCATGATCGCCCACGCCAGTCGGCAAGGCGCCAGATGATGTTGATGATCTCATGCCACTCAAGGCCTATCATAAATAAATAAACAGCTTGCCCGGTTTACTAATCTAGAAATCTAGAATCTAGACGTCATAACAGATGTATAGGGAGTATCCTAAGAATTAAGTGGCAGGATAGAACAAGAAATGAAGAGCTATGGGAAAGGACAGGACAAAAGGATATATAGAAGTAGAAATAGGACTAAGAAAGTGGCGTTGGGTGGGACACTCCTTCAGAAAGCCCACCGGAAACATCAAAAGACAGTAACTGCAATGGAACCCACAGGGAGCACGAGGCAGGGGTAGGCCACGGGCCACGAGAGACACAGAGGATATGTGTGGAAAGGGTCATGAGAGAGATAAAGCTCACTTGGAACGAGCTATGAGGAATGGCCCAGGATAGAGATAAATGGTTATGAAAGGAGCTTGTATGTGGCCTATACCCTGCCAGGGGTCAAAGGCATTGGTGATGATGAGTGCAAAAACTGTGTTCACTATAAAAATAATTTCCTGTAACAAGTTTTGCAAGTAAAAAGTGTCATTGGAGAGCTGTTACGTAGGCCATATGCGTAATCAAAATGTGTGAGATAAGCGGGAAGTGCTGTGAACAATACCATTTTCATTTTACGTATGACAGAGATTTCAAGTATTTTATTACATTTATGAAGACATTTTTTTAAATCTAGCCCCAAAAATATGATTTAGTTGAGACAAATTGAAACAAACGGCTGTGCAAAGTATGGGTGGCATTGATTCACCCATTAAAGAGATATTTTAGGATAAGTTGCGCAAGGGGCCTATGAATTTTTAACCGCACTATAGTGGGTGGTTTTTCTACTCATTTTAAAAGGTTTGCAGCTGGGATGATATCGCTTTTAAAAGCAAGTCCGTCCTTGTTTCCTATTCGCGAAATTATCTTTATTGAACGAATGTTTTGAGAACGTTTAGTGCGAAAAAGTGTTCACTATAAAATGAACTTCTTGTAACTAAGTTTTGCCACTAAAAAGTATCATTGGTGAGCTGTGACGTAGATTCTAACCCATATGCGTATATAAAATAAATGTGTGTGAGAAGCGAGGAGTGCTGTGAACAATTCCATAATTGCCGCGTGAAGGAGACTTGTAGTATTTTATATAAATTTATGAAGGAAAGGTTTTAAATCTAGCCTCAACTGTTGTGGAAAAATATGATTAAGTTAAGACAAATCGAGACAAACAGCTGTGCAAAGTATGGGTGACATTGATTCCCCGGTTATAAAGATAGGCTATTTGAGGATACGTTGCGCCGGGAATTTAGCCTAGCAAATGCAAATGTAGATCTAGTGCTAGACTAGGCAGATCTAGCCTTTCTACCCTACGATCATTATGATGGTCTCGAAGAGAGAGAGAGAGAGGGAGAGATGGAGAGAGAGAGAGAGAGAGAGAGAGAGAGAGAGAGAGAGAGAGAGAGAGAGAGAGAGAGAGAGAGAGAGAGAGAGAGAGAGAGAGATACAGTAGGCCTTACGGTATCGGAGCGGGTGGTTGGAGGGGGCTAAAGTTGGTGGTAGGTCCTTCTTCTTTATTTTCAAACTTGTTATTGTCGGTGTCTGTCTGTTTTACTTTTTTTCCTAGCACTAATATTTAATGACCATTAGGGCCTATTTTGTGTTTATTTGATTCTCTTTATTCAAAGAAACAAACCCACAAACAACATCGGACCTTTTCATCTAAACATGGCATAATAATTATAGGCTAATAATAGTAACAAATAGGCTAATACAGGCACCATTAAAATGCATGTTAATAGATAATAATATGTATTAATTATGAGTGCCCCAGAACGAGAAGCCTATTAGCAGCTTTTTGCTGTAATTGTAATTGATGCACTCCTTATAGATTTTCTGTTCGTTGAGCAGGAATACTTCGAACGCAAAAGACTGCGTGCGATATCCGAGCCCAAACCCACCGACCCCATCACGGGGGATGAAATGAAGACTAAAACGACAGGGAAACACAGAGCGGTTAGTCAAGACATACTCTCCTTTCGGAGGCACAGAATTTTCAGAAGTGGTGAGACAATTTAATTTTTATTCCACACTCCTGCTACCTCTCAACATTCCATTCCTTTTCTTTTCATTTATACACCAACTAGAAAGTGGATTGTTGTAGCACGCCATTGTGTCTTATTTCTTTTCTTTCCCTCAGCTGTTTCTGCCTATCTGTCTTGCATCTCCCGTGCACTATTATTATGACGGTAGTTGTGTCGATGTATTTCTCTGTACTCAAACCCAAACCGTTCGGGCGCTCAACTCACGCAAGCACGTCCCACACGCATACACACGTAAAGACTCGCACATCAACATTGCACACCGTAAATTGAGACAACGCCCCCCCCCCTCCCCCTCCAAAAAGTACAAAATATTCTCTCTCTCTCTCTCTCTCTCTCTCTCTCTCTCTCTCTCTCTCTCTCTCTCTCTCTCTCTCTCTCTCTCTCTTGCCCTTTTTAATTCTTAGTGGAGCATATGCCATCAACAACATTTCTCCAGCCCTTTCTAGCTGTTTCCTCGATGTTCCTGCCTTTTCCATTTCCGTCGTACCGCTTGCCTCCTTGTCATCTTTGGTCTTCCTTTCTTACGTTTTCCTTGTGGATTTCACGCCAAAGTCTGTCTGATGATGCTTGTCGGGGGGTCTCCAATCCATTTCTATTTCTTCACATGTATATCTTCCTTTACTGGTCTTTGGCTTGTTCTTATTCCCACAGTTGAGCATTTTGTGACTCGATCGTACCACTTGATCCCCACTATCCTTCTTAGACATCCATTTATGAAGCTCTGCAGTTTCCTTGCTGCTGATGCTGTGAGCCTCCATGTTTCTGAACCATACACAGTAGAACAGTCTTCACATTTGATTTTAAGATCCTCAGCTTGGTGTTCAATCCCAGTTCCTTGGACATCCATATATTCATGAGGATGATGAATGCTGCTCTTGCCTTTTGGATTCAGACGTTGATGTCTTCATTTGTCCCCCCTGCTTTGTTGATGACATTTTCCAAGTAGGTGAAGGATTCAACATCCGACAATGATGCACCTTGCAGTGTGATAGGAACGTCGGCTTCATTAATTTGAAGAAATTTCGTTTTATCTGTGTGAATATGGAGTCCAACACTATGGAAGAAGGTCCTGAGGCGATCTGTCTCATGTTGCATTTAGGCTCGACTGTGAGAAAGAAGTGCCAAATCGTCGGCAAAGTCCAAGTCTTCCAATTGACTGGAAGGGGTCCACTGAATGTCACCGCATTGTCCCGATGTTGTCTAATAAAAAGAGAAAAGACGATAGCAGGCATCCCTGTCCCACTCCAAACGAGTCTGTTCGCTGCCCTCCAAGAAAGACACTGCAGCTCATTCCCTCGTACATCTTCTTGATCAATCTCACGAACTTGTCAGGAATTCTGTAGTAGCGCATGAGCTTCTATATTGAGTCCCTATCTTGGCTGTCAAAAGCTTTCTCGTAGCCAACAAAGTTTACGTACAGGGAAAAGTTCCACTCTGTGGTCTATAAATGAATGAAAAAGTCTTCTTGACAGAGATAAGAGATCTATCACTGACTAACCCTATCCGTACCCCATGTTTTACTATTGTATTTATACGACGTGGGGAACTCTGTACCAGCACTTTCCAAAGAGGAAATTTACTGGTAAATGCGATCCGTACACTTTGCATAGCAGTCTGCCAAAATGATTTTTTGAGAAATACTGAAAGTTTCAAAAAGACGTTCGAACTAGAAGTATTCTAAAATGTGAAGAATGCAACCCGGTCGTACAAAATGACACCAGAGCGTACGGATAGGGTTACGTTACCAGACTGGCATATTGTGAAATCCTATATTATCATGTTCCCAGTAAATTTGTCTCAATTTACAAACAATAATTATTTATCTGTCTTCTTTGAATTTATTAACGTTATTTCCACACTAAAGTGCACATAGGCATTATCTTTACCGTACAAAATGTCATTTATCATTTCTCGTGAAGGTAATGCATGCCGTATAAAACCGGCATCTGTGGTGTAGCGGTAATTGGCGCCTCGCTGTCGCACGTAAAAGTCTGGAGTTCGAGTCGCGCATGGTGGAGAATTGTTATCGACTAACTCAGTCTTTCAGCTGGGACATTGTAAACATTTCAGTCCGGGCTGGCCCTGACAGGCAGAGTCGAACCAGCCTCATAAATAATCTGCATTGTGTCGGTGGGAGGCTGAAACAACTGCAAAAAAAAAAAAAAGGATATCATAAACTCCTCGCTTCATGTACCGTCAGAAAAATTCTTGGGGCTACTTACAAGTGACAATATCTGATTGTAAGGTTAAATTATATAGTGCCCACCGCAGGTCATGTTCACGGCCCAGTAAGATTATCTAAGCAAGATAAAGGGAAACACGTGGCATACTTTACAATAATTCAGCGACCCGCATCAGTATTCGTTCT